GGTATAAGGACAACACCGTCCAAAAAGAAGAATAGGAATTCCTATATCATTATTAATAGAAAGAAACTTATCTTTGTTCTCATATAATCATTTTGCCTGGCAAATGGTCCTTTTGCCTGCCATTGATCTGTTGGGACAAATGTCCCCTCCCACTTATCTCAATGTAATCCAAGTTATCAACAAAAGTAAGATTTACAAAATCGAAATTTGATATTACAATGAAAGATGTACTAAACATTTAAATATTTACGGTAAGTCTTTTCCATGTTGAACATCTTTGTTATAAGGATGTCCGTGCATGATAGGTATAAAAAGTTCTAAAAAACAAGGGAAAGTAGGGGTAAACATAATTTCATTTGATTCTGGTTCTAATAGAATCAAACCGAACATGAACGATGATTTTTTGGATAATAGAACCAATAGATTTTTTTTAAAACAAATATGTAATCGAAGCGGAATCGATAATTCGATTATGATTTGATTTGTTTCTAGTTTCATTAATTAAATTTTCAAATGATAAATACAAATTAAAATCTACCATTGTACCCTTAAGTCAGTAACATATGCCTATATAAATTTTTTTATCAAACATTCAATAAATTTAATTTCAATTTATCAATCATCAAATAAAATATTTTGTAATAAAATTAATTCACAAGAGTCCAAAATGACAAACAAAACGTAATCATAATACATGAACATCAAGTTCCATCTCCATACAAAGCATTGTCTAATAACAATGATTTACTAATATAAACGAATGAATCGTTGACAAAAGTTGAATTTTTTTATGTGGTTCACTGATTTGTGCGTGCGTGTGTGTATATATTTAATAGAAATTTAGTTTGATTTTTTATTTTGATTTTGGTTCTAGAGCTGAAACCAAACTAGAACAAAAACTCCAACCAAATAGTTCTTGGTTATGAGAACCAAAATTAATTGTTTTTGTATAATTGAATCTCGTTCAATTCAATTATAGTTTGATCTGATCTGATCATTTTTTTCACCCTTAAAAAAGGTCACGAGGGACTAGCCACAGATTGCTTTTTCTTTATTCCAGGCAAGATATGGGGAAAACAAGAAAAATAACTAAATAATATCCCGTAGGGGAATAATAGTGAGAAAAAAACACAAAAAAGTGCATAAAAGGAAGAAAAAAAAGTTGGGATAAGGCATCTTGAAATAGTACACAACAAGCCTAGGGATACCCACTAAGCAAAAGACATGGGTGGCCTTGTATCCAAAACCCTCTGGTAGATAACCAAAAAACAACCTTTTTATACTGCAATATGGGGCTTATTGTAATCTTCCTTATTGCACTTGCTGAAGTCTCCTCAACATCAACCTTGGAGTTTGAAACCTCTTAACCTAAGCCCATGTATGATAGAGATTAAAATTAAATTTTTAGTAGAGTTTGATAGAAATTTTTTAAATGTATGGTTGAAAAGTTGTAGGACCCATTAAATATGTGGTTAAGATTGGTTGTTTGACTTTGAAGTAGATTAAAATCTGATTTAAATCAATATCAAACAAAGGCTAAGTCTAGTTGTGTCTGTATGAGTAAATATAAAATTATTTTGTTAATCGTAAACGCTAATCATTTTGAATTTAGACGACATTGAACTTCTCAATTCACTATTCAATATATAAAAATGTATCACAATTTCATTGAAAGCTGAATCAGGATGCTCACTGCTACTTAGATGGGTGATGATCTATATTATTACCTGTACGTAAATGTGTTTGTTCACATGCAATTTGCGATTTTAGTCTTAATAATTTTTGGTGAGTTCTCTTTGAAAATTCATAATACCACACCTTTCCAAATGGTTGGGTGAAGATTCTTCCCTATTTACGAAAAGACAATTAAAAAGTAGAAAACAGAAAAGAGTGAATATACGCACATGCACACTGCCCTCTAATTCTCGATTTTTCAATCTAAATCACGACAATTTTTTGTGGAATGTCTTGAAAATTCCATTTAATGACCTATTTCCAAATACAAGGGTTAAAACTCTTCAAAACCTATCAAAAAGACAATTCAAAAGGCGGAAAGGGAATAAAGCATGTGATGAAAATTTTGATTGATGAGAAATTTTTGCAACCAAAAAAGCATACAAGTTGAAAAGTGAGGGAAAAAGAAGACATGGAACATGAAAGAAGCTTCTACATAGAATGGAAAAATTAAGCCTAAGAGGATCCAATGGGTGTTTTGAGGACTAAAATCTCTTAACTTCTTGCTTACTTCATTTGGATAAAGGTTAATACTAAGAAGTGGAGTATAAAATTAAGGAGGTATGATAGATACTATATTCTCGTAACATGACATATACTAATCAAGAATTCATCAAGTTTTAACTTATAAGCACATCAAGAGCATAGATAATTGCAGTAGTCTATAATGTATGAACGGAAATAATTCTTATTCCATTTACATCAACCTTTCGAGTTACTATTGATCTTTTAGTCACGATCCTAAAGTTATCGTTTATATATCAACGTTTAATTATTTCATCCTATTCATATCCATCATAGGAACGCTCTACATTACAAACAATTATTTGGTCCCATAATTGAACAACGAATGAAACCTCGAGAGAAAAATAGTTGTATAAAATAAAAACCTGTTATTTCAAAAAGGAAAAGATCTAACGCCTTGGGTCAATTGATGTCTTCCCTTCAAAAAACTCAGCCAACATTCTTTCAAGATCTTCAGGACTATATCTGATGTACTTCTGTGGATTTTTTCCACCCTGAATTAAAGGCCTAGGCATATATATAAGATTCAAAAAACTCGTCAGTCATTGACGAACCTAACTATGGAAAAACGGAGGAAAGTGTACTTATCATTATTTTTTGGGGCGGGGTGTTATTCAGCCTAAGAAAGCATACCCATAACGTTTTACGAAAGACCTATAAGCAGGCAATAGGACCTCTGCAACTGCCAGCCTCAATGACTCGCGCAACTCAGTATCAGGAACTGTCCATTGAGACTGCCTTTGATGAATCTCCTCGAACTGTATATTGAAGGTTTTGTACCTGTCTTTAATCATTGCCCTGGAAACATTCGCAGTGCTACCAGCATCTCCAAATGAACTGCTCCCACCCTGAAGTCCCTGAATGGAGAGAGACTGCAAAATCTGCACATCGTAAAGAGTGAATCTCTCCCAATACTCCAAGACAGACTGTTTTATAATTTATAATGAAATTCGAAGAAAATGGAATCCATTTTGATTTTCAAGATCGAACTTGATTAACAGAGTGAAGGAAAGGGAAGGAAAAACTTAAGATGTCGTTTGGTCACTAATCTGTTTTTTCTTTTGTAATTTGACAAACAAGAATAGAAAAACACAATTAGTTCCCTGTTTTTACATTTGTTTATATGAAAATGGAAACATGAAAAGTTCTGATAGTAGACAGTTAGAATTTATACAGGCAATTTGTGTTGTATATGTTTCCTTAGTAAGGAATTAATATGGAAATACCATCACATAGTTTTGCTATTTCAAAAAAGGTTAAGGGTAGGTGTGTCTTGTGTATGCTTGTCATTTGCGTCGAGACAATTAAGTTAAAGGTATTTTGCAACTTTTAAGAATGACTAACCCGCACATCCACAACAGCAATCACTATTTTCCTTTTCCCTGTCAAGCTCCCCTCACCCCCACCCTAACCCCTGTGGAGACTCACATCACAATCTTCACTCTGCACCAAGCTGTTAACAACTCTATTGTTACTCCAGTTGAAACATAACACACCAAACGACTATTGCAACAAGAACATCAACGAAGTTGTCAAATGAGAAGATGAATACAAAGAAATAGATACCCAAGATTTACAAAAGGTATGACAAATGAATACTAAAATAGAAAAAGAGATAAGAAGGGCAATTCAAAGTCCAGACTTTACAATTAAATATAACCGATAGCATTTCAATAGGTTTAGTGTCAACTGATATCTCAGAGGAAAAGAGGAAATAATTTGCAGCATCCATTCTTTATTCCACCATCAACGGTTTCTTATTGTTTTATCTCATTTTTCTTATTCTTTTGTATTATTGGCTTTGGGAAGAATATATTTTAGTCTTTCAAACACATAAACAAAGATTTTAATATGCTATATCTGCAATATGTACATCAATTTTCACTTCCATTTTGGGGGAAACAACAGAATCAGCACACTGCATGTTATCTTTCTTCAAATTAAATATGCAAGAACAGCCTGATCTCATGAGCTACTTCAATAAAGAAGAGTGGTACGGATGACTATAATAAAAATGACAAGTCTTGATGCAGGTGAAAAAAAGGTGCAGTGAGTACATCAAACCTTAGACCATGATATCCTCTTATATTGATTTGCATGCTGCTGGACAACTCTTCTGTGTATTTGCACCCAGTCACCCCCTAACAGATCCTTAGC